TGGGGATTTTCCGAGCGTGGCCGCCTCGATTGCCGGGGAGCATCTGACCTCAAGGTGTGAATTCAGGGTGCTCGACGCCGGCCGGCCGGGGAGAGGGTGCACGAGTGGGTTTTTCTTTGCCATGAGCAATACCCTCATCGCTCACAGGCGATGGAGAGCCCTCAGCCCCCTCCCCATCTCGCACACAGCTTGGCATCACAAGCAGCCCTGGGTTTGCCGAGTGAATCGGGTTTTGTTTGGAGGCTTCCCACCAGGAAAGTGGTGGGGTCACCAAGGTCAGCTGGAGACCCCACAGAGCTTGGCCAGCATGAGGGGGAACACAGCCAGACCCAGGGCAATGGTTACAGGCAAACACTTCTCCTGAGCTTCTCCACAAGTCCCCATTGGGTTGGCTTTTGCAAAGCAAATAAAGTTTATATCAATTGTTGCTTTGCAGAACAACACAAGGTTTGAATAGCTGCTGAGCTGTCCTCTTCCTGGCTCTGGCATCAGAGGGTGCCCAGCATCCCCTTCCCAGCCCACCATGCACGGAGGAGCCTCTGGGCAAGGCTTAGGGGGCAAGGACAGACAAATAAAGGGAAATACAAAGCAGGCGGTGAGGGAAGAGGGAACCGGGCTGGGCTGAGGCCAGAGGGGACAGTGAGAACCACCCGTTCTCACCTGCACGGCCTCAGCTCTGGCTAGCTCCAGCCTGTCATTTCTAGCTAAGCACAAGCATTTCTTCCTGGATACCCTCCAGCTTCCCATCAAAAATGTCACAGAAAGAAAACACACAGCCTGACCCAAGCAGATTTCCACAGGGGCTAATTGCTCCCATTAAACGCACATAGCCATGACTCTCACGCAGTGCCAGACACATTGAGAAGCCACGAAACACACGTGGCTCCTTTTGAGACCAAAGCAGCCAAATTCACCCTGCACCAACTGGGGGGAGGTTTGTCCCCCCAGGAGGGACACCTCCAGCTCACCCTGTGCCTACAGTAGGAAAGGCACAGATTTGTGAGAAAAAGCACACATTGGGAAAGCCTCAGCACAAGGAAATGCCTTAGAGCAAGGACATACCTGCATTCAGATGGACCATGCAGGAAGCCTGCAGCAGAATCTACAGTGGATGCAGCCTCACCCTTCCTCCATCCACACCAATGCCAAAAAACCTCCATCCTCTTTTCAAGGGGTTCAAGCTTTCAAAAACCAAACAGCACCCAAAAGCATCAGACTTGCTTTAAAACAAGGAAACAAATAAAAGGAAACTCCCTCCCACCCCTTGCTTGCCCAACCCAAGGCTGCTCCCGCCCCTCTGTAACCTGTGCAGGTCAGTGCCTGCGGCTGTGCTGCCTCGGGGCTCCCTGCCCAGCCTGCCACAGCTGTGTTTTGGGAGAAATTCGGGCGCATTGTGGTGATGCTTATTGTCACCAGAGAGACATTTTCTGCAAGTAGCCCAGAGCAGTGAGGGGACATGTGTCCTGTGGGATGGGGCCACCAGCCGAAGCCTGCTTCTCCTCAGGGTTATTGCAGGTGGCACAAGATGATGTAGCACCCGTGAGAGCTTTAATAAATTATGTACTGTTTCTCTCTTAATGGGATCTTTCTGGTTAATGTTTCCCTCCGCCAGTCTAATCCAGACTTGACTTTGGACGGCAGGTACGCTTGGGGCTCACTGCAGCCGTGCTGGCATGGCTGAGCTTGCCAGGGAGAGGCAATTCTTGCTTGTGTCAGAAGATGTGGGTGCCCATCAACTAAGACAGCAGTCAAGGCAGGCAAGTCTCTGAAATGCCACTTTAGATGCCGTGCAGTTTAATGCATGGCCCAGGTGGCAAACTGCTACCAGCAGCTGGCACAGTGGATATCTGCTGGGCCATGATGCTGAGCCACCAGGTTGCCACACAGAAATGCATAAAAAGATCTTTTTCCAGCTTGGTGGGAGGTTCGTCCCAAACCTCAGAAGTCATAGCTGCTCCACCAGCTGTCCTGACCCCTCATTCCCTTCTCCTCCCTTGCTCCAGCTCCATTTAATGGGATCAGATGAGCTAATCCGCCCGGTCCCCTTGCAGCATGATCAGATGGGATTTCTGCACCGGGGCTGGAGGGAACCCCACGGCCCAAGCAATTGCGTGCCCTCACCCACCCCGCTGCCTTCTGCGGGAGGTCGGATCCACCCTTGCCCTGCGCTCCGTTGCGGAGCTCGGTGCGGTTCCTGCAGGGAGCTGGTGCATTGCTACAGCTTCATCACCCAACCCCGGGTCAGCGAGGGGACCCATGGGCCAGCGAGGGGCTGGGGGCTGCAGCACACGTGGACATTTCAGCATTAAATGACAGCCTTGTCTGCTGTTGTGTTTTTTTAAGAGACCGCATGCCTGACCAGACCGCATTTCTTGGTCTGCATCCCATATTTATCCTGTAATTACACCTTCGGACAAAGGCTGCCTGTCTGTGAGACTGATTTTTTTAAGGACACGGTTTTATTATATGCTGTGCTTTCACTGTAACAAAATCCTGGGTGGGAGGGAGAAAACTCCCGACAGTTTGGGGGTGAAAGCTGTTCTTTTTCGAAACCTGCCCCAAGAGTGAAAGAGTTTGCCCAAGCCCTCTCCCTTCCTTTTCTTGAGGAAAACCCAACTGCTGACATCCTTTCTGCTTCTCTACCACCCCACGAGGACTGGTGCCACAGAGCTCCTCTTCGTGCTGTCCCATAAGAGAAAGGTGCCACCTCACCACTGAGGCTCTGCCACAGCAGCAGAACCTTGCCACCCAGGTCTTTGCAACCCTTAGAGCCAGCCCACTAAGCTGGATAAAGCTGATTAAGCTCCTCTTTGCACCTGCCTGGATCACAGCAAAACAAGGGATGACTTCCTACAAAATGGCATTTCTGTAAAATTCCCAATGGCCACCACGCGCTTGGCTCTGGAGGGGTAGGGAAGATTTGCACCACATGAAAACCAAAGGCAGTTGCTGGAGCTGTTTGAGCGGGGGTTTCCTCCCAGAAGGAGAGCCCTAGCTCTACTTGAACCCACCCCAAGCCTGGCTTTGCTGCAGTTCCCTGAAAACTGCACTGGGGTGAGCCTCTCCAGAGCCCTAATTTGCCTGATGATGGGCAAGATGAACCCCATTGCCAGAGCATGCTGAGCCTGGCAAACTCATCCCACATGTGGCAGCAAGTCAGGTGGAAAACAAGATCTTCACTGTGTCCTGCTGCATTTCGCAGAGGAAGAGGAGCTGGGGAGCACCTCGGCACAGAGCCTGCTTCAATGCCAGGAACAAGGAGAAGAGTGCTGTGGCAAGAACCCCCACTGCCAGCTCCCTGCAGTTCTTGGGCACAAAGATCAGCTGAACCATCAGCAGAGACCCTAACATTCCACCTTTGGTGTTTTCCTGAATCTCTTTTCCAGCTGGGATCTGTGACTAGTTTATGGGCTAGCACGTACACCAGCACTGCCTATAAATACATGTCTGGTCCAGCCTGACCAAAATAAGGTGACTTTGGTGCTGTGGTTTATGGGAAGCAGCCAGCAGCTGGTCTTCTCAAGCTGGTGTTGCTCAAAAACTGGAAAAGAAAAATGAGGATTGTTGGGGAGAGGATAAATAAAATGAGTCCTTGTTGATTTTTGCTAAAATTAAATTTTATTTATAAGGTACAAAATAGCCAGTGTTGATGTTTAAAAGCAGCCAGGAACTGGTCTGAATTGTTTTTTCCAGGCAATTCTTTGCCCTGGGATGACCCAATTCCACCCTGGCTATGGCAGAGATCCCCAAGGCACGCGGGGGTGACCAGATCACCCAGGCAAAATGGGGAGCCCCGGGGCAAGTGCCACAGATGGGCAATGTGGTTTCTCTGGCGGAGAGCAATCGCTCACCTCACCCCTCAAAGACACAGGAATCCCCTAGATCTCCTGGCTGGAGAGCTGTGGGGATGCTGCTGTGGCTGGGGCTGTCACAGGATGATGCGCCTGCAACGTCTGCGGGCAGAGGTGACATGGTGCATGAGGCTGCTGATACAGAAGAGGATGAGCATGCTCACCCTCGGGTTTTGCAGAGATAGCTGCTGCCAGACACACAGGGTCTCCTTGGGAGCGATTACTCCACTGCAAGTTTGATGACATTTAATGTGAAATCCTGAATCATCTGTTGATTTTCTGTGTTTGTGAGGGATGTTTCTCCCTTGCACTGAAGCCAGGAAGAGCTGCAGCTGGGACAAGTCTCCTTTGGTTTTACAGCAGAGACATTGTCAGTGGGGGGACAGCAGCTCAGACTTGGCCAGGAGGGATGGGGTCCTTCAGGCTGGCCCAGGAGGGAGAGCAGCTCTCTGAAGGAGAGAGAAGGGAGGGATCTTAAATGCTCTTCCAGCCTGTCAAAGGCTACTGTGGAGTTGAAGAGGATAACCCGCCCTGACACTGGTGGTGGACAGGACAAGGAAGCACAGGCTTATGAGGGGTCAGGAGAGAGCACCACAGTGGCACTTGTGGGGAAGGTCATCCCATGCAGCACTGCTGTACCCATACTTTGATTAATCATACTCAGAGGAATCTCTATTAGCTCCGGCTGATGTCGGATTAAACCTGATGAAAAGAGGACATAGAGACAGGCATATACCCACACTGCCTATGTGGAGTCTCAGAGCTGCAGAGGTGGGGCAGGAGCACCCCACAGAGCCCCTTTCCTGTGCATCTGCCTTGCCACTGGACCCCTGCCATCCCACAGAGCCCCTTCCCTATGCCTCTTCTGGGGTTGTTCAGCCTGGAGAAAAGGAGGCTGAGGGGAGACCTTCTCACTCTCTCCAAATACCTGAAAGGAGGGTGGAGAGAGGTGGGGGTCAGTCTGTTCAATCAAGGAACAAGTGACAGGACAGGAGGAAATGGCCTCAAATTGCTCCAAGGGCAGTTGAGATTGGATCTGAGGAAGAATTTATTTCCTGAAAGGGTTCTCAGGCATTGGAAGGGGTTGCCCAGGGCAGTGGTGGAGTCCCCATCCCTGGAGGGATTGAAGAGTCGTGTAGACATAGTGCTGAGGGACACGGGTTAGTCAGGGATTTGTCAGTGTGAGGTTCATGATTGGACTCGATGAGCTTAAAGGTGTTTTCCAATCAAGGCAATTCTGGGATTCTGTGATTTTTCCTGCCCACCAGACCCATGCCATCCCATAGAGCCCCCTCCCTACTCCTGTTCCCTCCCTCTGGACCTCTGCCATCCCACAGGGAGTGTATAGTCCTCAGGGCAGGTGTGATGAAAAGGCCAGGGAGCCTGGAAGAAGCCAGGGCAGGTGGATTGCTGCCACCAGCCTCCCTGCCTGCCTCTGCTGTACAGATCATCAGCAAAAGACAAAACCCTCTCTGAAGCTGACAAACTCTTACTGCAGCTGCCTGTTTACATTTGTCCAGAGAAATATCATCAAAACAATCTATTTGCCAATGCTGAGCATGCACCTGCATATGCAGAAAGCTCCCTCCAACCACAGTTTTGAGCATTACGAGTTTCTTCCTGTTGGCCTGGAGTTGGATGTGAGGTTTTCACAAAGGCTCCTTTTATCCCCTCTGTTTGCTTTGGACACTCTTTTTGCCAATGACCTTGTCTTGCTTGTTGGTGCATCTCTAACTCACTGGCCCCAAAGTTTTTTTACCCTTTATTTGAAAGGTGACCCTGCTCTTCTGGTGTACAACCAGATTCACCAGATGATAGCCCTAGGAGCAATGCTGTGAAGGGCTGTCCTCACCAGGGACTTTGTCTTGATTTGAAGCCAAGCAGAGGACAACCAAACCCACCGCGGGCGCTGCCCAGGAATGCTTTGCCTTTGTCTTGGAGGCAGGATGAAGACATTCACCTTATGAGCAGCGGCGTTAGGGCAGGAACGGGATCTTTTTCTTTATGGCAGGTCTGGTGCAAATATACCTGAAGGAGGAGAACACCACGTGATAGGAGAAAAGAGGGGAGTACTCCTGGAGTAATCGATTTCTCCCAGCAGTTGGTATGTGCTGTGAAATATATGCAAATGCCTGGCATGAAAAGCCAAAACTGCCTCTGTAAACGCCAGAGTTGGGCATGAAGGTGCAGGGGAAGGGCGGAAAGGCAGAAGCACATGGGAAGTGGTGGTTCATCCTCAGCCTCCCCATATTCAAGGACTGGGCCTTTGATCCAGCTTTGCTCCAGGGGATGGAATGCCAGGGGGGTTACACAGGTAAGGACAACCCTGCCGGGAAGGGGATGGGTTCACACACACCAGGTGCAAAGCAAGTCTGTTCATGTAATTTGAGGCAAGAGCTTAAATCAGGTTTTGATTGCTGAGTTCAGCCCTTTAGAAATGGAGATGGGTTTGGTTTTTTCCAGTTTTTGCATTGAATGATCTTTTCCCGAAACTGGCCATTGCCAGCCTATTCCAGCAGCTATTCCAACCCATGCAGGTACCAGGAGAGGACAGGAGCAAACCTGGAGCACTATGACCCTGGGGATACTTCCCAGCCTCTGGACATTCGTAGCTCCTGGATCTCCTGGGCAGAATGCGTGCCTCTGTGTTTAGTAGCTGTGGAAGATTTATCTTCCCCAGATTAATCAAAATTATTTTTCCTCATTGAAGGTTTTAGCATCTGAGCCCTGTGTGACAAAAAGCACAGATCTATCCCTGGCTTATCTCAACTCAAGCCATGGGCTCTCCATCCAAGGACCTTCCTCCACTCTCGGTTTTACCTCTGGCTGCTCCACCTCTCCTCTCTCAGCAGTTTTCCAGGATGAAGAGTCCCCCTGTGCAGCAGGAACACCACAAATGCTTACAACCCCTTTGTCACCCTTCTTCCCTCCCATGACCTTCCTGCGTTGGAGGGGAGGGTGTCCAGTGCCACACGCTGGACTTGGACACCCACGTGCCATGTCCCCATGGCTGAGCTGGCTGCACCCTCTGGTGGCAACCCTCAGTCCAGGCCCTGCTTTTCCTGGGATAAAAAGCTGCAAATTCCTTCATCCCTCTCTCACCCATGAGGCTGGTGGGAGTTTTGCTCAGGACCCCGCTGGGAAGTGGCTCCAGCACTGGGCTGGCGTTTGCTGAAGGAGAAATGAGAAGCAGAAGGAGCTTTCAAACCATCATGACTAGGGGAGTTCGGGGGCAGCTCTGCCAGCTCACAACACCGCAGTGTGCACAGCAGCTATATTTATCCACACAGTCGGCAGCTATATTTATCTGGAATGCCACAGGAGCCAAAAGTCTTTGGGGTAATTTCTATGCTGCAGAAGAACACTATCTGGATGTCCTTTTCACTGTAACCCCCCTTCTCTGCTCCCTGCTCCCCTTCTCCAGGGGCCTTCACTACCTTCTCAGCCCTTTCCTGCTCCTCCTTACATCCCACTATCTCCACCACAGTGATGCTTGTCTTGTCTTCCCTCCGTCCCTCTCGCACAGCTCTCTCTGGGCTCCTTTTCCTGCTGCCACCCACAGCAGATACATCTTCATTTCTCTCTCCAAGGGAGATGTTTCTCCTGGAAAAGGGAATGGGCCATCCTCTGGCTGCGTTACTCACCCAGCCTGCGATCTTGGCCAGTTCATGGGTTTCCCAACGAGCCTCTCCAAGCCACAGCTGCCGAGGGCTGTGAAACGTGAGGTCTCCCAGCAGGGGCAGGAGCAGGGCACACCTCTGCTGCCAGCCCCCGGCTGCCCCCCAAAAGGTGTTATCAAACTGAGATGTGTTTAGCCAACATTCATAGTTGACAAAGGACAAGCCAAGGTGGATAGGCAAAGCCTGATGTTCCTGAACTTTCCAAAACAAAACCAAATCATCTCCTTTTTCGCTTGTTTGGGTTTTTTTAAAAATGAGCTCATGACTTTAATGCTGGCGTTTGGCAGGACTGGCAGCGCATCCTCAGCATTAGCAGAGTCTCTGGTCTGGCACAGCATCCTCACCCACTGCCAGGCTGCAGCTGCGGTCCCCAAGCCAGCAGGCTCAGCTGGGGCAGTTCCCCTGCTCCCCCAATGTTTGTCCATTGCCCTTACAGCACAGCCCTCTGTCCTAAGGTCCTTACGGTCCCCTTCTCACCTGTGTCAGGGATGTAAGGAGCATGAAAGGGGAAACATTCTGTACCTTTGACTCTGGTCGTCGTGGGGGGATGTAAGGAAAGTGAAAGTATTTTGTACCTGTGACTCTGAAGCTCGTGGGGGATGTAAGGAAGGTGGAAGGGGAATATTCTGTACTTAGGACTCTGGTGCTCAGAAGGGGATGTAAGGAGGATGAAAGGGGACTCTGTTGCTTGTAGAGGGGCTCGGGAAGGTGAAAGGGGAAATATTGTGCACTCGGGACTCTGGTCCTCATAGGGGGATGTAAGGAAAGTGAAAGTATTCTGTACTTGGGACTCTGGTGCTCGTGCAGGGACATAAGGTCTGGTGTTCGTGCAGGGACATAAGGAAGGTGAAAGGGGCAATATTCCGTACCTGTGACTCTGGAGCTCGTGGGGCGTTGTCAGGAAAGTGAAAGGAGAATATTCTGTACCTGGGACTGTGGTCCCCGCCTGGGCAGGCC